AATATTACTTATATATTTGCTATAAATCACATAACAGTATTTATTAAAAGAAATGAAATATTAATGTATATTCTCAGTAGTTTTAATTTGCTAAACCAGGTAGTTTTTCAAGTAATAATTGTCTCTTATGTGAACTGAGGAAAAATATAATTTCCAGCTTTATTTTTTCAATTGGTAATTTTTATTTTCACTAAATGTTAAGTATCAATGTAATCATTTATATAATAATAGATTAGTACACAATTGTATGTCAACACATTATTTATTACCTTAAACTGTCTGGAATTTATTATTAAAGGGTTGCGCTTGCGTAAAATTTGCTATTGTGGAAATTCAGCTTTTTTGCCTTTCGGCTAATCTCATCCCTGTGTATTGAAAATAATATTGTTGTGTTTTTATATTATATTTTACTAGTAATATTTATTTAGCTTTGAAATTTTGTTTATTTGCTCTAATTGAATAAGATGTGTGTGTAATCCATTACTTTTTTATGTGTATGTAAAAATTATAAATACAGTAGTTATTGCATTTAAAATTTTATTTTTGTCCTAAAAAACCATTTTCTAATTTTTATAATAATATAAAAAACGATATTAAACAACAACAAAAAATTTCCACTCTTGGTCTGTTTTTCTGAAATGAATGTCACTGTTAAGTGGTTAATCAATGTTTTTTTTTTTTTTAAGTGAAAAAATTTTCTCCAAATTAATAATTTGTAAATTGTTGTTTAGAGTATTTATATAGAAATGTTAAAAAATGCAATGAAATGTTTCAGAGAGAATGTAATGAAAAGAAATGCTATGTTAAAAGTTGTTTTCTTAATATTTCACATTATAATGTTCTTTTTAATCGTGATGTAAGGCTTGACAGTTTGACTGTTAATGTAAACATATAGTTAAAAAAAACTTCAAAGAATTTAAATGTTTCCTTTTTATGCATTCTTTTTTATTTATTTTTTCGTGATTTGAGTCGATAGATATTTTCTGACTTTTTGTTCTTTTTCCTGTATCATGCTTGCATAAAAATGAACATCTTACTTGTAGGCAAAATACGAATAAGCGTAAGAAAGAAGAATGTTTCGATGATGAATCCGATTCTTTGTTATGGAAGAGAGTCAACAAGGACCAAGTGCAGAAAGTAAATTTTCTTTCATTTTATGTAACTCCATCTAATATATCAGTTCAGCAAATAAAACATTTTCACAACTACTTGTCTATAACAATTTTCATAATTTAGTTTTGTACAGAATTTTAAAAGTTGTTTACCATATTATTTAGGAATCAGTTTAAATATTCATAGTTATCAGCATTTTATCATAAAAAATAAAATATTATTTGTAATTGTAAACTTAATATTTGTAATAGTGTATGTGCTTAGTACTTGGTATATTAATTTAGTAGAATTAATAAAATTTGATTATGATGTGCTAACAGTTGTCGTGCGATTAAAATTATTTTTTAACATTTTATATAATAAAGAAACTGTTACATAAAATATCAGAGTACTGCAATCTTTCTAATTTAATAAAAAATTCATTATTTTTTATTCTTCCATTGTTACTTTTCTGTTTTCGTTTGTTTTAATTGATTTATTAAATTGCTTGGAAACTAGAGTGCGGCTCCCCATGGTAAAATTATAGCTACACGGCGACATTGTCGCAGAACGTTACAGAGTTCTTACAGAAATATTTTTATTTTCCTTAGTGAAAAAAAAAAATATTTCTTTTCTTCAAAAATTTACACCTAATATTTGAATCATGCACTTTTTGAGGCGCTCAATTTACGCCTATAGTAATGTTTCTATTGTATTTTCGGCAGTTATTGATATTGATTTTCATGTGCTTTTTAAGTATCCCGATTATTTCTAACAATATGGAAAATTCGACCTGTGCATTTCGGTATTTATTTTTTAAGGCAACAATTCTGTTCACTTTTTGGCAGTTATTGCTAATGATTTCTCCATAGTTTTTAAATCCGATATTTTTTATACTATATTGTTTATTACACCAACTAATCTCGAAACGAAACAAGCATTTGAGGAGTCTGATTTGCATGATTTCGTCATCGATCTTTTTTTCTACAATTACTACTTCAGATTTCATGCTTTTTAATTATTTTTTTATTGTGATGATTACTTGCAAAACGCAAAGAATGAAGTAATTTGTGCTTTGCGTACTATGCTAGAATATCACTCATAATACAAGAATAAAAAATTATTACGCGTTTGAGTTATAAACAAAATATATAGTTTTTTTTTTATATATATATAAACTCAGTACATTTGTTATTTTAAATTCGTAACATATATGTTCGTAATTATTAAAAGTATTTTGCAGAAATATATTAGTGCTAGAGAGTTTTGTCGCAGATAGCTCAAAAAAATTCTGCCACAGGGGTGTGACTTATGATTGAGACTTATTTAAACTAGATCATGATTATGAATTGTTTAAAAATTGCATTAATATTTGATATTTCTTTTTTGACTGATACTTTCTTCCTCTTAGGCTGGAAGAAACCTCTTTCTTTCATGAGTGTGTTTTACTAATTGGAAAAAACTTGCTATCTGTGATTTCAGTATTAATTTATGTGTAATAGTATGTGTATTAAGGAATAAAAATATGTTAATTTTACACTTTATTAAAATTTCTTTGCAGAGTAAAGTTCTTTCGAGTCCAGTTGTGCCTTCTATGCTTGATGAATCTGCCCTGTCACCTTTCTCGGAGAATATAGCATCTACTTTCCAATTATTGAGCGAAGAGGTAAAATGTGTAACAAACAGTTTTTGTTAACATAAAAGTACATATTTAAAATGAAATAATAATTTTGATCTTGTAATTTTTTATGGATATTTCTTTTCTTTTTTCTCTCTCTTACCAAACAGAATATTAATACTTAATATATTGTATGTTGCAATTGTTTTTTGAAATTCAAAATGTAATACAGTCTATGCTTGTTTATAACTTCTCATTATAAGTCTCGTTGGCTGTTCCATAGACACTATGAAATTTTAATACCCGGTAGAGCAACGAACGGTTTATTCGAATATAGTGATCGAAATTTGTTTTTTGATTTAGAAAAAGTCCCAAAAACTTATTTAAGCTATTATTCCAATTTTCATCATTAGTTACTAAATTCTTATTAAAGTAAGGTATAGTTTTCTTAAAACTTCAGAATTATTAATTTTTTTTTAGTTTAAATTGACGCTGTTTGAATATGAAACATAGATTTCCACATTTATCCCATTGAAGAGTTGCGCGTTGCGATTTGTATTCACGCGGATTAAAAATCCAACATCGTGATTCTTGTACGAACTAAGATTTTTCTTAGAATAGTTACTTTAAAGGTGTGGTATTCATGATTGGTAGGTAATTATAAATCTTATTTTTAAAAAAAATGTCTAATACGAAACATGTATGGTATATAAATCTTTATCTATTTTTTGCACCCAAAAATTTAAGGGTTTTTCACTTAGTGTCACTATTACCCCTTGATCTAATATTGCTCCATGTTTGTATTTGCTTTCCGTATAACCTTTGAACTCTATTGTGCAGGTAAAAGTTCCACAGAAGAAGAAAATATTGTCAGTTGACTGGAGCTTGAAAACTAAAATAAGATTCACCTCTCCCCATTCATTTCCCAGTCGTGGCTGTTTCCGTACCTTTGAGGAAGTCAATGGAACCATTGGCTTTGTCAGATGTTTGCATTCGGGAGACGAAACGGACAATAAGGTACTATCTGTTTTAATTTAAACTTAAATTATCATTTGTACAGGTTCTTCAAATCGGTTCAATTCCTTCTTCAATTCTAGTTATGCCCTAAAGTGAGCATTTTCTAGTATATTTGATTAAATATGCTTTGCACATGGTGCATAGAGTTTTTAAAAAGTGCTTATTTTTGATTTTCTTTTTTAAAAAGCCCTTGTGGTGCTTTTTTCATTTTGTGTTTTTAAAAAGTGCTTGATTTACCTTTTATGAAAATGAATTTTTTTTTCTTTACCTTGTTGATTTTCACCATGTACTATGCAAAAGCGTGCTTTCACATTGTTCAATTCAATATTTTCTCAATTCATTCAACCACAATCCATTTTGGCGTACCATCATTCCATAGCGTATGAAAGCGCCAATCATTTTACATGTTTGATGAAGTACTTGTGAGTCCGCCTGTGCATCTGCTGAGCTGGGTTCATTGAGACTATTGCACTCTGAATTTTGCAAGATATTCTCAATTTCAGGCTTTATTTTCCACCCTCTGATATCAAACCGAAAAATCTCTTGATCATTTTATAATATCTAATATAATCAAGAAAAGAGTTCTTTGTTAGAAACTAGTTATTATATCATGTAAAGTCTTGGGAAATTATTTTACAATTTGTTAATGTATAGAGTGCTTAAAAATATTTTGAGTGCTTAAAAAGTATGTAAAAGGTGCTTATTTTTTGTTGAAAGATTTGGCTACCCACCCTGTCTGCAGGATTCTATAAATCTTTAAAAAGTTCTTAATTCTTGAAACCATTCTTTCTGCCCTTAAAAATAGTGTTTTTTTTTTTCTTCACATTTTTTGGTTCTAAACTTTCTCTTGTAGGCTCTTAAAATGTTCTTACTTTAAGACACCTGAAATAATTATAATTTGTAGTAAAAATGTCAATAACATTCAAGTCGAAAATATTTTATTATTATTTTTATTTATTTGTTTGGTTTTTTATTATTTATTTTTTGAGTGTTTATTAACTTCAACCTGCCACAAAATAATAATTTTTGTTGCAAAACAGGAAAAATGATAGTTTTCTCATTGCAGTCTTGATTTCTATAGGTACAGTTAGTTCTGCAAATAGCACTTACAAAATTATTTGTTGCTACAGAATGCTTCAAGAATTGTTGTGAGCGCACTAAATGACAATGTAATAAATGTTTGATTCTCTGCTTTAAAAATTAATGCTTTCTATCCATGTTTTGTTGATCTTGCAGCAAAGTGTAGGGTTAATAATCAAAAATGTTTAAGATTAATTGCCATTCTTAGTTTGAAGTTTGCCATCATTTTAAACTTTATGGAGTTTAATGTTTTCCTCATAAAATAATAAATTAATTAAATTGTTTTCAATAATTTTATTATTTTTTCTTCAAAGAGAATTCATAGTTATCTGTATAAACTATTATTAAAGTTTGAAAAAGTCATGATAAGAAAAAACTCAATTATTTTTTATGTAAATCAGATTTATTTAATTTTCTTTAGACATTTATCATCCTAATCATCTAATAAAATTTATTAATAATGCGTAATATTTAATTAACCCCTTAATGATCAGTTAATTTTCAAGAAAACGGTTATAAAAGTGTCTATTTTTTTTATCCCTGAAAATTATATGAAACTATATCTATGAACAATATATATATACAGTGGAGCATCGTTTATACGACGATCACTTATACGACGTTTACATTTATACGACGTTTTAGTGTGGTCCCAAATCGTTCCTATTCATTTTAATGTAAAAATATATCGTTTATACGACGCACAGAATCGGTTATACGTCGGTTTATAATCAAGAAAAGAGTT